ATCCTGATCCTTTTGATATGCTAAGAACCTTTTGATGAAGATAGTAGGTGAAACTCCTAGAGTGATAATTGAATTGTCAACATAGGTATAATACAATTTGCTAATCTGTAGTGGGTGTTAACTGTTTGAAGATTAATCACATACCACATGCATATTTTATTTGGATTTGCTGTTGTAGATCTCTATTACCTTTTATTAAAAAGGAAAATCTTGATTTACATTAGCTGAAGAAATTGTTTTGAAATTTAGTGATATTTGTTTAAATGGTGTCTGTAAGTCAAATATTTGTATATAAACAAGAGTACCAACATTATGGGAGTCTAACTGAACCGTTATATGATCCCTGATGGTCTTTTTAAAGCTATCAAAAGAAAATTTCTCATAATTTCAGAAAGCAAATTTTATCTTTAACTTGCAATAAATTTGCAATCTAGGAAGCAAGTTACTTACATGTTCGGAAAATAGTCTATTTTTTGGAAAAATATATGTGGATATTGATTAGGACAGTAGAATTATATCTTTATATACTGTATAATACTGCTTTTATAGAAGTTCATATCATCTGACAGAATTCAATGCTAATGGAAAAGATGAAGATATGACAAAAAGTAAAGGTTGAGAATGAATAGACCTTCAAGGGAGCTGATCTTTCTCTGATCTGATAAAACCTCTTCCATTCTCTATCCTTCTCCCTGCAGACCACTGCATAGCAAAAGCGTTTTTACTGATTAGCAATAATCTCTCAGGATTTGAGGATAAGACCTGTAAAGATGGTTCCCAACTAAAATATGGTTTTCGTTGTTGCTGCTGACTTTGTTTTTCATTTTTTAGTAATTTCTAAAACTTTGCTGGGGATTTTTTTATTAACCTAAAATAGAATTCTACTAGTGTTTTGGTTTTGATATTACGCTGTCTTCATATATATTGTGATGGGTTTTATGGGAATCTAAAGAAGGGTCTTGTGGAAGGAGCATAAGCTTTGGAGTCAGAAAGTCTGGGGTCAAGTATATTTTTGTTATAGTTGTAAGTCCTTAAAGCCTTTACAGTGATTTTCTGTTTTAAATGTTCAAACCAATAGGTAGGTAGGGATGCATACATTCTGAACACATCTATTACTTTGTATAAATATTTATTTGATATCCAAAGGATTTTCATATATACATGTGGTGTCTCATTTACAACAAAGCCATTTAATAAACCTTGCTGAATATCTTAATATTAGCAGAATTAAGCTTCAAATTTTTCTCATAGGTATTCACTGTAATCCAGGTTTTATATTTCTGTGTGGTACTCTGTCTGGTTTTAAGGTCTGATGCTGTATTATACTGTGCCATAAATCAGAAAAATGTTCTGTTTTGTTTTTTTCTTTTTCTTTTTCTGAAGTAAGTTACTGTTACAGGATATACTTATATAGCCAGCTGAGAAAACAGGGATGTTCTATTGAGCAGATATTCACATTTTATTGGATGTTTTATGTCTCTTTTTAATTTTCTTTGTTTTTTTTTTTTGGAGGCAGAGTCTTGCACTGTAGCTCAGCTACAGTGCAGTGGTACCATCATAGATCACCGTAACTTTGAACTCCTGGATCCAAGTGACCCTCCTGCCTCGGCCCCCTGAGTAGCTGGGATGATAGGCATGTGTCACCATGCCAGGCTAACTGGGTTATATTTTTTAGAGACAGGATCTCACTGTGCTGCCCAGGCTGGTCTTGAACTCCTGGCCTCAAGAGATTTTCCCGACTCACCTTCCCAAAGTGTTCGGAGTAAGGGCATGAGCCATGCGCCTGGCCTTTGACAGCCTTAACACAATTCACCAATGGCATTTAATGGTAGCTCATTAGCTTTAAAAATAAAATGTCAGTTGACCAAAACGGAAGTGAATTAAAGACTTAATGTGTCTAGAAGACATGTCAGTTTTCTATAAGTAATGACCAGCTGGTTTTTTGCTGCGAGAAATAGCACCACTGTGACTGTTGACTCTAGTCTCACGATAGACTAAGTATCTAAAGTTTAGTATTATATACTTTCTCATGAAATTTGCTAGGTAAAAATATTTATTAATTTCTTCATGAACAATGAAATTAACAGGAGTAGAGTTTTCATGATTATATATTTCTAAAATTCCAACCTGGGGATATGAAATTTAACAGCTTTCAAGCTTCAGACCAACCTTTTAAAGTGCATAACTTCTTTGGTATACATAACTTCATGCCTTTCTTTATTTTTCTAAAAACTTTTTCAGAGTCTTGCAATACAGGATATTTACTTTATAAAATTAGTGTTCAGAATACATATAAATAAAGCTGATTTGGACTCTCTTCCTCCTAAGGAATTGTGTTAGAGTGTATTGCCATTGTTATTCTGTTTCTCTGGAAATAGTTAACTGTGATGATTACTGTCACTATAACTTACTAAACATGGATTATGTTCAAGTCATAAGCCACGTGATTCTGGGTGAGATCAGTTAAATTGCACTTTCTCATGCACTCCCAAGGAGGAAAGATCTGGTAGAGTTACAGCTGGTGCCTTGGAAACTGCATAGCCCTGTGGGTGAATGCTCACTAGTGTGTTTTGTTTGCTGAAAC